TGAAAGAAGCCATTTGGGCTGGGGGTATAGCTTAGTGGTAGAGTTCATGCTTAGCATGCTCAAGGTCCCCAACACCACACACACACAAGCCAATTCCAAAAGGCCATTTATTATGTAGTTCCATTAATGCAAACTGTCCAGAATAGACAAATCCACAGAAACAGAAGGTAGATTAGAGATTAGAGATTGTCTATTACTCATATTGGGGGGAACAGAGAGTGACTGCTCATTAGTACAATGACTCATTTTAGGGCAATAAAAATGTTCTAACATTGATTGAATTATGGTGCATAACTATAAATATATTAAAAAACATTGAAATACAAACTTTAAATATGTGAATTATATGGTATGTGAACTATATCTTAATAAAACTGTTTCAAGAAATGCAAAATAAAAATTAAGAGTGACTTTTGGGGATTACACTGTGGCCAGCATTTCAAGCAGTAGTGAAACCAGATCACTGGTGCAATTTGGGTAGCTGCATGGCCTCCAAACTAATTTGGGCATATGAAAAAGTTTAGGCAATAATGAATCTGGTGAACACTCTAGAATTTCCATGTAGAAGAGGCTTTGAGGAGGGATCTGGTTAGAAGGGGCTAGGATATGAGTGTTGAAGTTCAGGATATTAAACATGTTTATAAATTCCTAGAACACTATGGTAAAATGAATTAAGTGATATAGGATAGTTACCAAAAAAGTGAAACCATATATATATGTATATATATATATATATATATATATATATATATATATATATATATATCCTTCAGTAGGTACTGTGGGGAGCCACTCTGGAAATACATGCCCTTAAGTCCTGAGCAAGAGATACTGAACAATTATTGTGCCCCACAATAACTTGGGCTTTACCTCCACTCAGATAATGAGGTGTGGCTCCAGGAGTGGGGGGTCACCTGGTGGGGTTGAGTTACACCCATTTGTTCCTTTGCAATCCTACCCCTTTGCCCTTTTTGGGATAGAATGTTCCAAGGAAACTCCCCTTGTGTGTCCGCTATATTAAAAAAAAAAAAAAAGAATTCCAGTGGCTCTTTCTCTTTCCATGGACCCCTAAGTTCACAAAGTCCATGCCGGATTTTGAAAAGGTACTTCTCTGTGTTTGCGTGCTTTCTTCGCTATGTTCTTAAGTTATTGGTATAGTTAGGTTTGTGAACCCAGCATAGGTTGCCAGCTAGTATAGATGGAGATAAGGTACTGTGACAATACATCTTGGTTTTCCTTGGAAAATTCAAATTAGCACCTATTGTTCCCGTGTGATAACACCCCCTTGCTCCCTGCAAAGTCTGTATAATAAAGTGTACAGTCACTGATAAAAATAAGTGAAAGGCAAATGAATTAAACTATTGAACAACCTTATTATGGCTTCTTGGTTAAAAAAAAAACAAGATGGGGGAAAAAAGCAATTGTATACAAAAATATGTTGTGTTTCTATACACTAGTAGTGAAAATGGAAATTAGGAAAATCATTTAAATGGATTAGCATTAAAAAATGCGTAGAAATAAATCTAACCAAAGCTGGGTGCTGTGGCCCATTCCTATAATCCCAGTGGCTCAGGAGGCTGAGGCAGGAGGATGAAAAGTTCAAAGCCATTCTCAGCAAAAGCGAGGTGCTATGCAACTCAGTGAGACCCTGTCTCTAAATAAAATACAAAATAGGGTTGGGGATGTGGCTCAGTGGTCAAGTGCCCCTGAGTTCAATCCCTAGTATCCACCCACCCCCCTCGGAAAAAAAAAAAGAAAGAAATCTAACCAAAGAGAAGAAAACTAATATACTTAAAATATAAAATGTTAGAGTGTACATGGAATGCATGAAGCCCTCCCTGGGTTTGAGCCCTAGCACCACAAACAAATAAATAAATAAAGATATACAGCAGTGCTTCCTGCTTTGTGTAGGTACCTATGAGTAAATAGATTTTTTTTTTTTTAATTTACTGAAAGGAATGAAAGACCTAAACAAATGGATGACATCCTATATTCATGGATTGGAAGACCTAATGTTAATATTGTTTGAATGACAGTACCATTTAAAATGATCTACAGGGCTGGAGTTGTGGCTCAGTGGTAGAGCGCTTGCCTAGCATGCATGAGACACTGGGTTCCATCCTCAGCACCACATAAAAAAAACTAAATAAAATAAAGGTATTGTGTCCATCTACAACTAAAAATATTTAAAATAAAATAAAATGATCTATAGATTGAAAGCAATCCTTATAAACGTTCCAATGGGGTCTGGGGCTGGGGCTCAGTGGTAGAGCACTTGCCTGGCATGCATGAGGCACTGGGTTTGATCCTCATCACTACATAAAAATAAAATAATAAAATAAATATTTTTAGGGCTGGGGATGTGGCTCAAGCGGTAGCGTGCTTGCCTGGCATGCGTGCGGTCCGGGTTCGATCCTCAGCACCACATACAAACAAAGATGTTGTGTCTGCTGAAAAACTAAAAAATAAAGTTCTCTCTCTCTCTCTCTCTTTAAAAAAAAAAATAAAAAATAAATAAATAAATATTTTTAAAAAGTTCCGATGGTATTTTTTGCACAAATAGGAAAAAGAAAACATACTAATATTCACATGGCATTTCAAAGCACCTCGAAGAGTCAAAACAATCTTAAATTTTTGGAGGACTCATACTTCTGCTTTCAAAACTTATCACAAAGTTACAGTAATTAGAACAATGTGGGGGCTGGGGCTGGGGCTCAGTGGCAGAGCACTTGCCTAGCATGTGTGAGGCACTGGGTTCTATCCTCAGCACCACATACAGAAATAAGCAAATAAAATAAAGGCATGCTGTCCATCTACAAGTATAAAAAGATTTTTAAAAAAAGCAAGACAATGTAGACTGGCTTAAGGACAGATATGTAGACCAATGGAACATAATAAATAGCTAAGAAATAAGTCCTCATCTATATGGTCAATTGAATTTCTACAAGAGTGCCAAGACTATTCAATGTGGAAAGAAGTCTTTTTAACAAATAAATAGTGCTGGAAAACTGGGTATCCATATGGGAAAGAATGAAGTTGGACTTTTACCTTATGCCATATAAAAATGAACTCAAAACAAATCAAAGATCTAAACATAAGAGGTAAAACTACAAAACTCTTAGAAGAAATAATAGGGGTAAACATTCATGATTTTGAATTTGACAACGATTTCTTGGATATGACACCAAAACCACATAATACATAAATTGGATCGCATCAAAATTAAAAACGTGTGTGCATCAAAGGACACTGTCAACAGAATGAAAAGACAACTCACAAAAGGGGACTCAAATATACATTCTTCCAAAAAAAGATATGTATAAATGGCCAATAAGCACATGAAAAAAGTATGTTTTTCTTGGAGGCTGGTGTTTCTTTCCTGGTGGTACTAGAGATGGAACCCAGGATCTCATGCATGCTAGGCAAGCACTCCATCACTGAGCTACACCCCCTGTCCTTTTTATTTTTTATTTTGAGACAAGGCCTCACTAAATTGCTTAGGACCTCACTAAGTTGCTGAGGCTGGCTTTGAACTTGTGATCCCCCTGCCTCAGCTTCCCTAGACAATGGGATTACAGGCTTGCCCAACCACACCTGGCCAGATATTGAGGCCAGGCCTAAAACTATTTGTCTATTGCCCATTGTACCTAGACTAAGGTTCAAGAAATATTTGAGGGGCTGGGATTGTGGCTCAGTGGTAGAGCGCTCACCTAACATGCTTGAGGCACTGGGTTTGATCCTCAGCACCACATTAAAAAATAAGTGAAATAAAGGTATTATGTCCATCTACAATTAAAAAATATAATTTAAAAAAAGGAAATATTTGGTTGATTTCAAAATTAAACTAAGTCAATTTGGGATGATCTGTTGCTTTCTGGTTTCTTTTCGTTCTTCTTATAATCAGTGTATGGATAATTTCAAAAGTTACTATAAAGGATGAATTTTCTGCCTGACCTTCATTTAATAAGAAATATGTTTCCGGGCTGGGGATGTGGCTCAAGCGGTAGCACGCTCGCCTGGCATGCGTGCGGCCCGGGTTCGATCCTCAGCACCACATACAAAGATGTTGTGTCTGCCGAGAACTAAAATAAATAAATAAAAAAAAAAAAAAAAAAAAAAAAAATATGTTTCCTAAACCTGATTTCAATCACTTGTATTGCATTGTTTTTTTAAGTGTTCATTTCTGTTGATTCCTGGGCAAGTGAACTAAGTATTCGTAGTTTAAAATAGAGGAGGCATTTTATTTACAATGGGTACTTTTTTGGAGCTCGTAATGCTATTTATAGTAAACAGATGTGCTTATAGAAATTAGGCAGAGAAGATGCTTACAGGTGAGTGACCTGAACCATTTCCAAGCAGCAAGGGCAAAAAGGGAAACTGATTGCTCAGTTGTCCTTATCTTAGAAGAGCCATTTTACAAAATTATGGGTACACAGTATTTTCAACTGTGGGATTAAAGTTCAAGAGGAATTTGCCCTGCTGGCTCTTTTATAAATCATGTTGAACACTAATCAACAATAACTTCCATGTGAGTTCTGTAGAAGGTGCAGAAACTCTATTTTAATAAATGAATTGTCTAGCAACTACAAGATTGAAGGCAAAAGTGTTACATTGTATGACATTGTAGGAATTTCTCAAGGGGGCTCCAATGATATGATCAAGATTGTGCTTTCTTCAGATTCAATTTTATAAGGGTTATAGATTCATAATGATTATTTTGAGCCAGTTGGATTACAAGTGCTGGGAAGAGTGGTCAGTTCAGAGTAGAGCACTTAGAGTCAACAAGATTTTTTTGTGGTTGATTAATGCTAGAGTAGCACTCAAGACATTGCAAATGTGATGGGGACAAAGCCATTATTCTATTGGGAAAGTGTTCCCACTTGGTGAGAATACCAACCTACCTCCAAAATATATGCTTGTGTGTGTGTGTGTGTGTGTGTGTGTGTGTGAGCGCACAGCAGAGCATTCACAAGTAGATGCGAGAAATTTTACAAAAGAGAGTGTCCGCTTTGGCAGCACATATACTGATATTGGAACAATACAGAGAAGATTAGCATGGCCCCTGCACAAGGATGACGCGCAAATTCATGACACGTTCTGTTTTTTTTACTAAGGAAAGTAAGCCAATCCCAAAAAACCAAAGGCTTAATGTTCTCTCTGATAAGTGGATACTGATCCATAATGGGGGGAGGTCATGGGGGAGAATGGTGGAACTGTGATTGGGCAAAGGGGAGGGAGGGGAGGGGTGGGGGCATGGGGGTAGGAAAGATGGTGGAATGAGATGGACATCGTTACCCTAGGTCGCACATAGGGTGCGACGCTACATCGTGAACAATCAGAGAAATGAAAAGTTGTGTTGCAATTGTGTTCAATGAATTAAAATGCATTCTGCTGTCATATATACTTAATCAGAATAAATGAATTAATGAAATAAAAAAAAACCCCAAATCTAGGAAGTTTATTGAGTGTTTTTCAGTAACCATAAGTGCATGGTAGGCAGGTCTGCAGAAACCACCTTCATTGGCAATGTCTACTTCATGATGGGGTGCAGAGTGCATGGCCAGAGTCTATGCTGCATTGGAGGTAAGGGGGCAGGCTGACTAGTGCTTGGGACCAGAACATTTAGAGGATCATCCAGTTTGGTTACTCAACTGTAGGCAGCTCTGAGTCTATAATGTTGTCTCCTTGAAGTTGATTTTGTGTCTTTTAATTGGCAGTCAAACATTCTCCTCATCAAAAAGTATTCCAACTATCAAGGAACAGCCAAAGTCTGCTTTCAAGAGCACACAATTTACAGAGTAAACGAGGACAAAATGAGACACCCTAAGTATCCAAACTGCTGCAATCATTGTAGTCACCATGGGAGCCAAGCATATAATGTAGCATTTAGGATGTGCTTGCAGCATAAGGGTCTAAATTCATATGATTTAGGGCTTGTTATTTGCTTACATGCCATAAAAAGAGAAAATGAAGAGAGATTGGGAAATGTAGCCGCCTCATATTTTCACTATGAAAGTTTCCAAAATCAAATTCTTCAACTTTGACAAGAAGGTTGATTTTGAGCTAAAGTCTCAGAGGCCTCTGGGGACCAGACCAGGAACACAAATGAAAAAAGTGGACTGAGAACAGACTGGGATAAAATGGAGAATATGTGTCCGGTCCCCAGAGGCCAGTAATTCCTCAGCCCCAGGCAAGTAACTGCCCTTTGGAAATGTGGGCCTTGTATGGCTACTATATAATATTTTTAAAAAGTCAATCTCAGGGGTCTGGGGATGTGGCTCAGTGGTAGAGCACCTGTCTGATATGCCCAAGATCTCAGGTTCAATCCCCAGCACTGCAAGAATAAAAGCAAGCCTCAACAATTTAGTGTCTGTCTCAAAATATAAAATAAAGAAAAGGCTGGGCATGTGGGTCAGTGGTAAAGTGTCCCCTGGGTTTGATCCCCAGCACCAAAGCAATCCCCTTCCTGAAAATCCCAACTTTTCTCTGAAAATCTTTTATTTTTGTGGGGATGGGGGCGTTTTCCTGGAGATTGAACCCAGGAGAGTTTTACCACTGAGGTACAGTTCTAGTCCCTTTTATTTTTTATTTTGAGACTGGGTATCTCTAAGTTTTCAAGGCTGGCCTGGAACTTGTGATCCTCCTACCTCAGTCTCCTGAGTTACGAAAACTTCTTGATCTCTAGATGTTGGCAACTCATACTTAGGCTGAATTTGACCAGGAGATTGCCAATCTCCAGTTTAGTAGAAAAGGCATGAGACTTGGGCTGGGGATCCAGGTTCGATCCTCAGCACCACATACAAACAAAGATGTTGTGTCCACTGAAAACTAAAAAAAAAAAAAATATATATATTAAAATTCTCTGTCTCTCAAAAAAAAAAAAAAAAGAAAAGAAAAGAAAAGGCAGGAGACTAGAAATCAGAACCTGGGTTCAAACCAGTTACACACCTATGAGATCGTTAATAGGTCACTTTATCTCTATGGGCTTCCCCCCACCCCCTTGAAATGGAGATAAGAATGTTTATCATCATCGTGTTACAGAATTGTGTTCATAAAATGAATGATCGTGCAGGCCTTGGACATAGGGTGATTGTTAGACAAATGTCCAGGTTGGTGAGTGTGATTTTTATACACATTAGGGAGAATAGTAAAATTAACTCTTTTTCAACTAAATCCATGAGTCTAAGGAAAAGATACAAAAGAATTTTTGAAATTTTAAAACTAAAAGACTTATATTTTGGCAAAATGTCAGATATTGTGAGTCAGAGCAGCATCACTAGACTCAGGGCTCCTATGTTTTAAACAAAGGGCTAGTTTTTTTAAAGTCAGTGGCCATGGGCTATTCCTGGGCCATTCATTCTTGAGCCAGGGTAGGGGTTGGGGTGAGTGGCAGGAAGGGCGCCAGCTTATCTATTATCACCACAGATCAACTTTGGGGGTGAACACTTAAAGTCCTTCACCCTGGCAAGGTGAACAATGGAATTTACAGGTGTAAGACCTGGTGTAAATTTGCATGATAGTTGCAGAAGCTCAGGTTGCAGATTTCAGTTCAGTGACAACATGAATAATTCATGAGTCCTTTTGTCAGCTTGCAGCAACTAGTTTTTGTCTCTCAAATGCTTAAACCTGGCTGTAAAGAATTAACTGGCAAGAAACTGAATATTTCCCCACTTTGCTTTAAGGTTCAAAAGTGTCAGATGGAGAACTGTATCTTGAACTCTTCTAACTTAACCCGGTGTTCCTTGCTTCTGCCCTATTTGATTCCATTTTCTTAATAATTGATTAAGTGGATGAGTGGATTAAATTTGGATGATCTACTGTATGAATAAGAAGGCCTGTGTTGATTTTTAGAAAATAGCATTCCCATCCTTACAAAACCTGCCTCTTTACCATTTTTCCCCCATTTGAAGTTCTGCAAATGAAACCAGGGCCTTGAACATGCTAGGCAGGTACTTTACCACTAAGCCACACCCCAAAGCCCTATCTCTTTTTTGAAAAGATGTCTTTAGGAACTAAATATGATCCTGAAATTTTGCTTGTTTAGTTTACTTTAATTTTCAGCTAAAATGTGCAAAGCAAACCAGAGATGATGGCACACACCATAATTTCAGTGACTTGGAAGCCAGCAAAAAAAAAAAAAAAAAAGTAGTTAAATATAATAAATTAGAATAAAAAAATTTTTAAAAAGTGGTTAAGCACCTCTGGGTTCAATCTCCAGTACCAAAATAAATAAATAAATGAATGAATGAATGAATAAATTAATTAATTAAAAATTAGGCTGGGGCTGTAGCTCAGTGGCAGAGCACCTGCCTAGCATGTGTGAGGCTGGGTTTGATTCTCAGCACCAGATAAAAAATAAATAAAGGCATTGTGTCCATCTACAAGTATAAAATTATTTTTCAAGAATTTTATATATATATATATATATATATATATATATATCTTTATTTTATTTATTGTATTTATTTTTATGTGGTGTTGAGGATCAAACCCAGTGCCTCACAACTCTACTGCTGAATTATAACCCCAGCCCCAAGTATAAATTTTTTTTTGAAAATTAGGAAAAACCAAGCAGTCTCAGTGATAACATAATGTACTTGTTTAAATGCCAATTGTGAACAAAAACTTAGATACGCTTTTTTTTTTGCAACTGGGGATTGAACTCAGGTGCACTAGACCACTGAGCCACATCCCCAGCCCTATTTTGTTTTTTAGTTAGAGACAGGATCTTGCTGAGTTGCTTAGTGCCTCACTTTTGCTGAGGCTGGCTTTGAACTCGTGATCATCCTGCCTCAGCCTCTGGAGCCCTTGGGATTACAGGCTGGATACACCTTTTATATAATGTTTAGGACTGTGGATGGGATTCAGTAGTAGAACACTTGCCTAACATATAAGGCTATGGAGAAAATGTTTGGAATTGCTTTAAAAAATTTAGCCGTGGGGCTGCAGATGTGGCTCCATGGTAGAGCACTTGCCTAAACAGGCCCAAGACCGAGTTCAATCCCCAGTATCACACACATATACAACATTAACTGTATGTGTGTTTAAGTATGTGGGAGCACATGAGTGAAACTACATTGTCTGGGAGTAAATAATTATTGAAAATGGATCATCAGTACACTGGGATTCTTGATAATGTTCTCTCTAATGTTTTATAAAAAAGAACAAAAATGTGAATTGCTTTGTTGTAGGTGATATTTTATCAGTTTACCCCTCCCATGGGACTTCATTTGTCTTTATTTTTAAAATTATAAATTGTAAAAGGCATATATGCTTAGTGCAAAAATATTTAAAAAAAAAGGAATATGTAAACAGTAAAAGTTCTTATCTGTATCTCACTGTGACTTTTCCCCTAGTCTTACATGTCTCCCCAGGGATGATGACAGTAAAAGTTAAATGCATATTCTTTCAATCTATCCTTCAGGCATGCACAGACATTTGCAGAAATAAGTGTTTTTTTAAAGAAATTCTTTATTATAAAAGACAATTTCATTGTATAGAAGAATCAACTTCCCTTCAAGTAAAACATGTATCCAATTCTATAATGTGGAAATGTTATCATTTTGACTTTTTTTTTTTTTTTTTCTTTGTGGTACTAGGGATTGAATCCAGGGCCTTGTGCATGCAAGGTAAACACTAAGCTATAACCCCAGCCCCCACTTAGAATTTTTATTGTCAGAGTTTGCTCCAACTATAAAAACTTAATTCCCTTTATTAATAGGTTAAGCTTTATCGACATCATAAAATGACATTTTTGCATCTGAATTTTTTTCCAATGAATAATGACTGATCACTTTAAGGTATGGCCACTAAAAGTCACTTAAAAAAATCACTGGTATCTTTTAGTTAAAGGCATTTTGTGTGCACATTTCAGGGGACAAGGCAACCTCATTGGGGCTGAAGAAATCAGCTTGTGATGGTTGTGATTAATTTTATTTTTTATTTTCTATATTTATTATTATTAGTAGTAATGGTAGTGGTTGTGATTAAACCCAGGGGCACTTTACCACTGAGATACATCCCCAGCCCTTTTTATATTTTGATTTTGTTGTTTATTTTAAGACAGAGTCTTACTAAGTTGCTGAGGCTGGCCTTAAACTTGCCCTT